CTCCAATTTAACAATGTTCTTTTAAAGTGAATCACCTGGAATTGAACTAAGAATTTCAAGCGCAGAGTGACAGGTCACCTTTCTTTTGCATGCCATGCTTCTATTATTGAGGACCTGCCTTTGTATTTGCATTTTGGACAAACATACAATGTTAACCAAGACAGAGGTTAACGTGAGCCATATCCTCACATCTTTCCACCTCTAATGCCACATCTCTCCAACTAACTCTGTGTTTAATAAGAACACAAGCTCAAGTCATTAAACCACTGAGTGGTATCTAATCATCTGTAACAACTTGTACAATCGTTACAACAATCATTCATGCAAGATGAATTACCTCGTGTGTTTCTGCAAACAATTGGTTTTCATGATTTTCCCTGAAAAGACAAGGCCACAGTGTGAGGACAGTCGTTGTGGCAGAATATGTAAAAAGCTGGGGGAAGCCCAATGCTACCTTACAGAGAGCAGAGACGGGACAAAGGAGAGAAGTGAGGGACTAGCTGTGGCAGAGAAAGCCATTCCATTTCCCAGGTCAGAATGTTTGCTTTTTTAGGCCCCTAGTCGGAGCCCATCAATTACAAAATTGTTCCAATGTTGTGGGCAATGGTGTTAAGCTGTTCTATTTCTGAGTCATTCGCCTACCTAGAATTCAAGTACTCACTTGGGTTTTAAAACACTTCTTTATGAGACATCTCCAGAATTTTCCAAAACAGTAACCATGAGTTTGTATGCAGGCTAATAGCAGGCTTCCAGTAAGTTCTAAATTTCTTTTTGCAGTGTTCACCTGGGACAGGTATTGAAATATACAAGTTTCACTTCTGTTGTTCAAACCACCTGAGATGGTTATTAGTCTCATCTCCTGACTTACTGCCCTGAAACAGCTTTTATTAATGACCACAGAACAATTTCTCTCCACTTTACAAGAGTACCAAGTGCCATGTGCCTAAACTTTGCATGAAAACCATAAACTCTATTTTATGGCTCCTTTTTGCCGTGTTTTAAAACTTTTTTTTAGGGGCGGGGGATGGGAGAGAACTGCAAGTTTATGAGCCAGCTTGGGAATTTAATAAAATACTATGGACCCTGTCCCCTAACAATTACAGGCATGAGCATATAAATGCTTTTGTATATGATGTCCAGGGTTTCACATCTCCCCTGAAGTCCATCTATAGCCTCTCAGCTAAGAAAGTTTGCTTTAAGGAAACACGTAAGAAAACCAGGACCATCGAGAGTTTTCTCCCTGGGGCAATCCTAGCCAAAGTAAGGGGCAGGGCCAGGGTTTCTGCAACTTTGGATGGCGATAATAATAGTACTTTCCACCTAAGGAAGTAATGAGGATCAAATGAATTAGTCACATCAAGAGTGTAGCATCAGGGCTGGCACTGAATAAGGAACTGTCCAATAAATGAAGGTGCTTTTATTCTATTTTTCTTTTTCCAGAAGGATTATACACAAGGCCATTGGCACCTAATGGAGAATGATTTTACCTGTTATCTCCCTGGCTGAGATGGGGATGGTGACAGACTGAGCCTCTCTGGAGAGGGGAGAAAGGGGAAGGAAGCAGAAACAACCCATTCCCAGATCCTCCTGGAGTCGCCACATCCTTACCTCGCAGGAGAAAAG